GAGTGTTTGAAATTTTTGTAATCGAGGATATCGTTCGTTTCGATCGATTTATCGAAATTGATATCTTGGATATTGTATTAATAAATTTACGAGCACTTTACAGGAATCTCTTCCTGCACTTTCGTTGGCCAATTGATCGATTTTAAATTTATCGATATAATAATTACAACGGATAACTGTAATTTATCAGAGTTTGTAACGATATTCGTTTATCTGAATTGAATTCGTACCATAAACGATATTTGTCCAGATATTAAACGAAAGTAATACGGTTTAAGTATATCCGACAGTGGCAATAATTTATTCAAAGTTAATATTCTTTCCAAGTAAAAGACGTTTTATTAAAAAGGAGCAAGTCATTTAATCCTTTGTTTAATAAATATATACGCACACTTTTATTGACATTATCCTTTCACTCAAGTGCGCAATAAATTTAATCAATTCATAGACATCATTAGAAAACGAGTTTTTATTTAAGTAGGTATATTTTAACGACACATTTGACATAAAGATATATGTATTTTACGAAATATTTATAATATTATTAAATATTACATTCTAATAAATGTTAATATATAACTTTGGAAAATTTCTCTCTCTCTCTCTGTGTTTTTTCAGGATTCCGTGGCGTCCGCCTCCGAAGTGGGGGAGGAGGAATACGAGGACGGTGACGATTCGGACATGTACATGGAAGCGGAGAGTGGCGAAACCGATCGGATCGATAAAGGGAGGGAAAGGGAGAAGCGACGCGAAAGTTACGCGAACACGACTGACCGTGGTCCGAGCGTGCTCGAGGAAAGCAGCGGGGAGGTCGAAGGGGGGGAGGAGGCATACGAGCACGGTGACGATTCGGCCATGTACATGGAAGCGGAGCGTGGGGAAACCGATCGGATCGATAACGGCAGGGAAAGCGCGAAGCGACCCGAAAGGTACGCGAACACGGCTGGCCGTGGTCCGAGCGTGCTCGAGGAAAGCAGCGGGGAGGTCGAAGGGGGGGAGGAAAGCGAGGCGTCCAAGTGGAAGAAGGATGATCAGGAAGCGGAAAATACGAAGGAAACCGATCGGGCCGAGGCGCCCGATTCCGAAGAGAAAAGCTTGGAAACGGAGAGTCAGAACTTTTTCCCCTCGTTCGCCGACTTGTTCGCCAATCACAGAAGTTCGTTCGCCGAGCAACAAAGGTACAGGCCTCAGAACAGATTCCTGGGATACCTGCAACGCGATCGCAACGGTTATCAAACGGCGTCGGGGGTAGCTGGGGGGAAAGACGTTCATCATCCCCTTCTGGGATCGGGCAACTTCGGCGTGATCCGAGGCGGCACCTATTATCCAGAGGAGAAGGAGAACGACGAATATTCGGTGGACGATACTCTGTACAATCCTTACTATCACGGGGGGAACCGTGGCCGCGCAAATTATTTCAGGAATCCTAAACCGCAACCGATTCGCGGTGGCGATTTCTTCGCGAATTTCCGAGATTTCGCCGACATCACGGCTCCCCCCAAGTCCAGTTTCTCTCACTTATCCGTCGTTTACGCGAATAAAAACGGTAGCGCGACCGGGACGCGTCTCGGTCAGGAGCCGAGAAATATCATCGAAACTCTGAGAATGTTGGAAGAGGAAGGGCAAACTAGCTCCGAGATGGCGGTCGGCACGGAATTACCGAGGAAGAAACAGAGCAAAGGGAAGAGGAAGTTGATGAAAATGAAGCAGTACGAAGAGGACAAGGCGAGGAGATCCTCCCGCATCACCGTCGAGCCTTTGTTGGCGCTTAGTTGAACGTTTCGGAATTGAAATTGTAAGGTAGTGCGGACGCGAACCACGGAATCTTTCCCCCCCTCCAAAAAAGAAAAGAAAATAAAACGCGAAATCTGGCCACGAGATTAGAACCAAAGTGTGAAAAATATTGTCATTTGTTCTATTGTTTATTGGAGGAGGATTTTGTGCGGAGAAGAATGCGAAGAAACGATCGATCAAAGGGGACAACTCGCGTGAATTTTTTTTTTTTTTTTCCCCCCATTAATTTTCAATAATTCGAGATGCGTCGAGATTTTGTATTTAATAAGAAGAAGTGTTTCGTGTAATTAGAATAATTTTATATCAACGCGTTCCGTTGAACGTACTTTTGAATTATTGGAATTAACGTAACCGCCTTGACGTGCTTTCCAATTTTCGTGGCAATTGTACAGATTGCGTGTAAACCGAGTATTTTTCTCCAATTATTTAAATCGTTCGCTACGAAGGATAAACTGTGTATCGTTTCGCTTTCGTAATTCCACGTTTCAGACGTTCCTCTGAGAAAGAAAGAGAGAAAGAAAATTAAAAGCGTCAAAATATAGGTTGCCATCGAAATCGAACCGTTGAAATAATACCGTGGACAATCGGAGCTAGACTGAAATTACTTTTGAAAATTTCGAATCGAAGTATCGAAGAGCACTCTGTTCGATCGGACGAGATATCCGAAGAAGCAGAGAACTATCGGAAACGATACGTGTCCGACTCTAACTCGTATCTAAGGATAGTCAAAAGTATCTATGAAATAGTGTTTTTATCGATCGATTAATTTCGCAATTTTTTGCGTGGAAATAGTTGATCATTCGTTGTCGAACGAGAGAAGATCAAACTCGTTTACCAATTCACGGACACGTTTCAAATCGATCGAATGCATTTGCGCGTGTTGCACCTTCGTTATGCTCGAGTAAACTTCAGTCCGGTACGAGTGTAACGAGTGTACGGGCGCATTAACGGGTTAATCTCTCCGTTCACAGGCTGCGCGCACGCGCTTGACACGCGCGTTTCCCTTACGCGTGTATTTGTAACGAGTGTGAAAACACCACGAGTATTTAATAAGAAAAAGAAAAAAGAAAAAAACAGAAAATTCGCGATAACGGAAATCGGAAGGAGATACATTTGCGTTTGTCACGGCCTTTTGTAAATAAATTTCCACTGCTCTGCCTCGCGTTTTCTTTAGTGTTTTAGCTAAAGCGGAACCGGACCAACATTTGCGTCTTCATTCGAACATGAACATGCGCGTGTGTATTCGTTCGCGGACCGTATTTCTGCGTTTAACTATGAATGTAGTTGTAAACTACGTTAAGGTAATCTATCGTAAGATAAGTATATCTCATATCTGTTTCTTTTCTACGTTGCAGACTGTCTCGCTGCATTTATTAAATTCACAAAGACTGTTCATCTATTAATTATTATTATTATTATTATTATCGGCTTGGCGTAGAATTTCTGTTTCATCTCTTGTCATTAATTAAATTAAACTAATATCTTCCCACAAAAGTATCGAATTTTTTGTTGTTCAGATTTTTGACACGTATGCGATTTTTCTTCTCACATCACGACATCCTTTGATATTTCTCTTTATGTTCGTGTGTCGAGTTATGCGTTCAAAATTTGTTGTCTGTTTTTTTTTCAAATATCATGGCATATAAAGATTCACCATTCCACTTCATGCTAGAATACTCTCTATATAAAGACGAAAAGTCCGCCAGTGAATCTTTCGCTGTAGATTTCGACGATATTGTTATAAAGATTTTGTTGTTGTTTATTTTAAGTACGATAGTATAGATATGATAATTAAATGCTCGATCACTGTGTCTCGTACCGTATATAACTGTATACTGCAAGAGACACGTGATAAAGTATCGAAATAAAGTATATTTTTCATAATTTATGCGAATGTGAAAACCTGTTATCATCATTTCCTGACGGATTTAATAGAATAAAAGAAAAAAATTTTTTTTCCTCTCAAGGTAAGTAAACTTTACCATTTATAATCGTAATAAAATTTATTTATCGTAAAATAGTTAAAAAAAAACATACTCGAATACTAATAGATACACACGACATCGCTATTTCTTTCTTTTTTTTTTTTTTTTTT